AGTGGTAACACTATAGGCCTCTGGACTGGTAGGGGGGAGATATCATCACCCTCATTATGGACGATACTGCCAAATATCAGGAGGGGCTACAGATCAAGGGAGTAATAGATGCCTGAGACTCTGCATGGAGACAGCAGCTTCTTCTTTATTTGCTTTTATGTAAATAAAAGGCTAAAAATTCTGGATTTATCATATTTATGATATGCTCTGACTTCCTCCCCGCACTTCTTGTTGTCTTGGGTGATGTTACTCATCCTGCAGATATCTTTGGTATATTTGACTCCACGCAAACGCAGAGCTAAACTGCTCGTTTAATTCGTCTCATTACGAGCAGGCAGAGAAACACCTGTGAAGATTTGTGTCTTCCAACTTCATCATGTTGAAGCGTTACCTTCCATCTATTCGGTGTCAGAGACACCCTGTTACTGACATTTTTTCATGTTATCATTTATCTCTCCGACTGTTTTGTACTCCGAAGAGCTTCCTTCCTGTTCGCTAATAAAGATCTCATTTTCTGTGCTCGGAATTTAATTTCCAGCTTTCTGAGAAACAGCTACAATTACAGATTTACTTGTTTTACTTAGACAATAGTCACTATTCTATTGAACACACCACACGTCTGTTTGTGCCTGCTTGTCTTTGTCTGCTGTGATAACAAACCATCGATTTCCTTTCGTTTTGGTCTGTGGGTTGTACAAAAAGAGCTATTTACAGACAGCACTGTGGGAGAAAAAGACGGGTAGTGAAAAATTATTGGCAGTCGTATTTATCTACACAAAGCAATTAACTGCAGACAGGCAAACTCCAAAAAACAGAAAAGCTTCATCTAACAAAAGGAGATGATGAGACTGAGGACATCGTGTGCTGGACTGAGGACGATGAGATTTACCTCCACAGAGTGGGGAGCAGTCCCACGTAGCCGCTCTGCTTTGTGTCTTTGAGAGATAAAAGTTTCACATTTTTGAACAGTGGAGCTGCTGCTCTCCTAAATGAAACCTGGAAACCACATCAATTATTTCTGCAGCCTCACAGGTTTTGTTGCCACTCGAAGAGTTGCCATCAGAGCGTAGGATAAGAGGAAGTTGTTCACCAACTGGCTTTAGCAGCTGATGGTGACCCACCCTCCTCCCCAGATCCAAACCAAAAAGCTAAAACGTGATTTTTCCTGTCAAACATCGTCACACGAATTAAAATGTGGTTTACTGTTGTTGTGAAAATCATCAGATGTTAGCCCAGAACAAGGAGGACACATCCAGGGCCTCGTGTTAGCATACCTGCTAATTACTAGCTGCAAACATAACAGTTAGCTTAATAACCATAACAGTTAGCTTAATAACTAACCATAACAGTTAGCTTAATAACCATAACTTATTCTGCTTTGTTTTTACTAAAACGATCAAAACCAGTTTCTATTTGATGTCTTTCTTTTTTGTCCTGATACAAAATTTGAGTTGGGCTGATGATTTGATTATTGATTACCAATATGTAATAACTGCACTCTTTTGGCTAATGTTAGCAAGCACTGCTACTGCTAATGCTGGACAGACAGGTTTCCTCTGTAGGAACAACAGAAATGTTTTAAACTGAGGAAATGATGACCTGTGACTCCTGCAAACGTGTTTGTGTGCAGCTGAGCGTTTCCTCACTCTGCAGCAGTGAAATCACGAGGTCGAGGCATTAGAGACTCTTAGATATTCTGCTGAAAAATAAAACACTAGTTTAGTTCGTCTTATATTTCCTCACACTGATCATATTTTTAAAAAGAACATCCATTTCTACTTCTCCCTGGAATTTTATTAAACAGTCTGTTATAATTAAAACACTGAAATGTGAGCTCAATGTCTGCAGAACATCAGCAATAAGATTAAACAGAGCGAGCTTGTTGCTGTGAGACTCTCGAGACAAGAAGAACAGTCTGACGTCCTGTTTCGGGACGGGTGGAGTTAAAACATCTGTTGCAAACATCAGCAGAAGGCGAGCAGCTGCAGACGTGATGGGATCTCACCTCAAACCGAATGAAACAGAGCGAAGAAGACAAGAGGAGGACAAACATCCTCTCAGTTCAGGGGCCCCAGAGGAGGCCGAGCAGGGTAAAAGAAGTGCAGCACTGCCATCTAGTGATGGACATATGACCTGCAAGTCATAGAGTGTAGATGAGTGCTAACCCTAACCCAAATATGGTCAGAAGGACATACTCTGACATCTAAAGCTGCACTTTTAATGATTCCAAACTAAAAATATTTAGATTCAAATTAGAAAGTGAACTTCCCACACATCCTGTATCAATTAATGATTCACAAATAAGCTCAAATATTTGTGTTGTATTATAACTCTTATTGGAACATTGACCCTCTGACTTCCACAGGTGACATCAGGAAGAGCAGGAAGTGCGTGAAGTACACGTCTATCTTCATAAAGTTTCAGAAAGGATTCATAGACACACGACAAACTCCTGAATTTGGAAAAAAAAAGGTAATTGTGTAATTCAGAAACAGATGTGTGTAATTACATAGAAACATTAATAAAGTTTTATGTGTTTAATGCGCATCATTTAAAGCCACAGTCTACCTGAGTTTCGTTGCTGATCATGTCAACATGGACAAAGTCTCAGGAATGGTTTCAGCACCTTGTTGAATATCAAAAACTTTCAGCCCACTTTAACCTGAACATTAAGACTTCCTGAAGTCAGCTGCTTCACGACAGGTCAACACACACACACACACACACACACACACATAGAGTTGTTCTTATTGCCTCAGAGTTTTTATTTCCTACAGGGATGTACAGCAAAAGGACTAACACTGTCAGTGCTAATATCCAAAAAGGTCCTGAAAATCAAGTCTAGCACACTTTTTTAACAGGTATTAAAAACACACACGCCTCCGGTCTCAGCGTGCCCCGTCTCAGACTCCAAACAGCTTCCAGAACAACATAATAAAAAAAAATAACAACCAAAGACATTACCATACTGCATGAAATGGCACAGAAGAAAAGCAGAAGGGCGGCAGACATGGGTTAGAGAACGTCTCAAAGTCATTTTCAGGGATTTAAGCTGCTCCAGACATCAGGAAGGTTTCCACACAAATCCTGAATCTTGTTCAGAATGAGAATAAACTACTGCGCTGGCTTCATTTCCAAAACATCTATGCACTGTGTTCAAAAGATATCAACTGAAGGTGAACCAGGACTGCGCTGCACTTTTGTGTAATACCACTTTGTACCACAAGAGAGTGCAGTGAGTTAGCGTAACCTTTTATTTATTTGTTTATTTAAAGCAGCAGTGATATAAAATTTTGGAGCTTTAGCTCAGCACATGGAGGAAGTGTTTATGACTGAGGAGCGTAAGTCGTATTATGTTTGAGTCTGTCTGGACTGACTTGCAGGCTTTGCTCCATTCATTCGCTAATTAAACAAGGTCAGGTCGGGTGTGTATAATTATTATATTATTATAATTATCTGTACTCTCAATAAGAAGGTGACATAATCTGTGCTTGTTGAGCCAAATTAATCAGCTGTTTAATTTGGCCCTCCTCCTGTGATTGCCCTTAAGGTCCTGTAACACCTAACTGCCTGAAATCAATTTTAATATTACGGTTAAAATTAATTAAAAGTAAGGAATCAATCCAATAATGCATTTACAATCTAGTGCTTTTTACCTAGCCTTAGCTAACAGTCATTAAGAGCTGGCTGTGGGTCATTTTTTAACCCTAAAAAGTCTCATTTATATCCGATTTTGGGCTGACTGTGGTCACATTAACATTTGGCCTGACAAGTACAACTAAATTAAACAGACTTTCTTTTTACTAATAGCAATATTAGGATACCTACTAACTTACTGGCCACCGAACAGTTAGCTGAAGAACCTTTTTTTCTTGCTTTGTTACTAAAATGGTCAAATTCAGTATTTGTTTTTTGTCTTTCTTTTTTGTTCTAATTTCAAATTACAGTTGTGCTGGGAGCCGATGATTTGATTACCGATTACCAATATTAAATAACTCTACTTATTTGACTAAGGTTAGCAAGCACTGCTATCGTTGATGCTGAAAAAAAAAGGAATCCATCAAATAATGTATGCTAAGCTATCTAGCATTTGCACTGAAATGTCGTTTAGCTAATAGTAGCGCTAGCAAGCAAGCTATAACTTAGATATGCTACACAAACTATTACCACAGTTAGATAGAAATGTTAGTTAAATAAAAATGTAAAGGTAGGCCAGGTATTTCTTATTTCTTAGGCTACTCTGTCCTCAATGTTTATTTGAACTATCAACTGAAAATAGTGTCCTTCTAACGTCATTAGCCTGCAGCAGGGAGGCTAATGACATTAGCCTGCAGCAGGGAATTATTATTAGCAAGCTAGCTTGCCTGCTAATAATAATTCCCCAAACCATTATGTTATCTCTAGTTTTGGCTCAACTTCAGTCACATTAATGTTTGGCTAGAATTTTTTTTAATAAACTAGACTTTTTTTTGTTAAAGTAGCAGTAACAGTTAGTTAGCTACTTCCTTGCTAACTTTTTTATACTAAAATCCTATCTTAAGTCACATCAGTGTTTATTTTTTCCATCCTCAAGTGAAACTTTGTTGTGCAATTTGATTATTGATTGAAAATACACGACTCCTTGACTCTTCAGCTAATGTTAGCTAGCACTGCTCACTGTTGATACTGTTTTTTTTACAAAAATGAATTAAAGCATCCATCCCGACTTCTATTACACCTAAAAACGTCTCATTGTAAAGATTTTGGGAGAATATTCTAGAGAATGAAAATCATACAAATTCACACCTTAAAGCCAAATGCTCCTAAAAAACTGGAAAAATAGCAACAGTAAATTTCTCTAGATTAGCTGCAAAAATGGTTCTTTTTTATTATTTTTGCTGTGTAAATATATAAGTGAGATAAAAATACAAAGCTTTATGGAATCAGAGGGGACGGCTGATAGTCGAGCTGTAGATCTTCAACAAGGTCACGAAAGAAGAAAAGTGCACTGAAAAAAGCAATCAGATTCACAAGCCATTTAATCTTGAATTCATTCAGTAAAATCATACAAAAGGTGTGGAAAAAGGTCAAAAAGGAGCCACAGTTTGACTTGGAGAACAGATTGCAGCTGAGAAACACCAGAATAAATAAAATATTTCACCTTGATTCTGTAAAGTGAGCTCTAAATACAAGATTAACTGACTTGCAGAGGTGAATATTTTCAGGAAGGAAGGGAAGAAGGAGGGTGGTGAAAACGAGGTAAGAAGAGAACAGAGTGAAGCTATACATGGCAGCTGTATTGATCGGCTGTATTAGTTTTATAGGGTGTTATTGAAATACTACAGACTAAGCGTGTCGGCCACACGCCAGGCTTCATTGTCTCTAAAATGCAGCAGTGCGCTACGTGTAATTATCATGTACACAAACAAAAAAATCCCCCCACACCCAGCTAATACATCTGCATAGCAAAAAAAAAAGAAGAAAAAAGAAAAAAAAGAAAGAAAACAGCAAATAAATAAAATAAACACAGAAAAGAAAATCGTTCCAAACCGTCACCAACCCTGTCTTTTTTCTGTGGCTACTGATTCTAAAAGATAATACAGAAGTAGTTTTGATGCAAGACTTGTTATTATTACTTTTTTTGTTTGTTTCTTTTTATTTTTTAGAAAAAAATTCTGTTTCTTCATGAAGCACACTTCCTACTTCCTCTTGGTCCGGTGGCGGTGGTGGTGTGGGCGTCATATAGGCCGGTTAGTCATCTTCATCATCAACCACGGGGTCCGTGTCCCAGCACGTGATGTCAATCTCTGAGTAAACACACACACACCGATGTTTACACACACATCAAACTTGTGTTTAGCCAAACTAGGAGGCTTATTTTAGCCTGATATGAGTTTTTGGTGCTTTAAGCAAAAACAAATGTTAGTGATTCTCCTGCCAAACCGACCAATTAGAAATGGAGCTCAATTCACTGACCAATCGAGCCCAAAAAGGCTGTGAAGTCTCAGGATATCCATCCTGTCAAGACTCAAAGAGTCACTCAGACTTTGAGGCTGGTTGGCAACCTCGTGTTTCGAGGGAAAAATGTGTTTTCCAAACTAGCTGAGTCTCAGTGGAAAACAAATCCCTTTATGGTTGTTTTTCACTAAGGGTGTTAAAAATCTACCAAATCTAATATGCTGAGGCAATAAGGACGTGGCCAAAAGCAGCTTTATTTCAGCTGATCGTCTCACCTGGTGGCTTGTTATAAAAGACCGGTGCGGGTTTAGCCGAGGACTCCTCTGATGTCCCGAATTCCTCCTCCTGTGATTGGCTGAAGTAGCCCTCGCTCGCCTGAAACACCAACAGAGAGATAGAAGATGAGCGAAACGACGACCAATCAACCGAGAATCTGATCTTTTGTTTCTGGAGAGCACCAGGAGCATCACCTGGCTCACCTGAGTGCCTTCTTTCAGCAGAGCCTCCCCATTGGTCATCAGCAGCTGTCCGTCATCCAGCTCCTGGCCCTCCCCAGATGCATGCTGCAGTGCATGCTGGTAGCTGAGGGTCATCTGATCAGAGCCCGTCACGTCCACCAAACTGGACGGGTCGTCTTCGGCGCCAGTACCCGAGCAGAAAGTCCCGTCCATCATCTCGTCAAAGCTGAGGAGCGGCTGAGGCCGGCCGCTGGCGGCAGCGGTGCTGGGCGGGATGTTGTCATGGAGGACATCTCCCATTAGGTCCACCAGATTGGAGGACTGGGAGGACTGGGCGGGCTGGGCGACGTTGGTTGGAGCGGCGGAGCTGCCGTCCCACAGATCAACCAGGCTGTCTGTGCCAGACTCGCACGCAGAGACAGCGGAGGAGTCGCGGGCCTGCGGGGCGACGCTCTGCACGGGCTTGGTGGGCGTCGACTCCTGGACCGGGGGTTTCTGCTCCTGCTTTGGCACTGAATCTGAAGAAAACAAGAAGAACAATTTCATTTTAAAAACTGAGTCACGTTTAATGATAATCAGTTTCTTTCTAATTACCAAAAAACTGATTTTTAGAGGATTTCTGTTTTGGAAAAAGACCCAATGGAGCACCGTGGAGGCGGCTAAGAAAAATAAACTAAAAGCAGTGTTTGTCAGGTTCTGGGGACTCTTCGATTTTATAAATGGTCAGAATAGTTATTTATATTAATTTATATTGAACCCGAAATATCTCCGACCTCTAATCCGTGGATATATTTCCCTTTTTTAAAGGGTGAAAATGTCAACATTTGGAGTTTGGAGGGATGAAATTTAAATGTTGTTATTTTGTGGAAATCTGGCAACCCCATGGTCTGTCGTCTGATTGGTCGACAGAAGTCTTACCCCACTCGTCTGCGTGGTCTTCCTTCTCATCCCTGCTGTAGTCATCTTTGATGGGCGTGGTGACTATTTTAGGAAGGGGTGACACGGTGGCCATGTTGCGCTCTGTGCTCACTTCATCGTCATTGTCCGCTGAAGGGTCAAAAAGAAAGATTATTGAAGGAAAACTTTGGCAGGCGTCACCAAAAATCCTCCAAGACTTTTACCCACGAGCAGGTGTGTCGAACTAACACAGAATCTGATGGTTTTATCTGAAGTTCACACTTTGTATAAAGCTTAGTTCAGCTAAATGAGGGTAACAGGTGATTGTGACCAGGTGAACTCCACAGTCACATCCTGTGTTACTTCAACACGGTAAACATTGCACAAGATCGCAGCAGCCACATGAAGTTTGTTGTCACATGACCAACAGACAGGCAGATTCAGTCACTGCGCCCGGTTTCAGACCCATCGTCTGTTCTGTCAACAAACTGACATCATCTGCTGAGCCAATCAGATTTGAACCTGTTGTCGGGTAAACAGTAAGCTTCTCCAAAACTCTGTTTTCAGTCAGCTCCCTCACTGTGTTATGTTTAATGTACAGGCAGCATCATGCACTCAGTTGTGAATGCCATTATTTCAGTGAGACGTCCACAGAGATAGCTCAGTGTGTCTGAAAGTTTTGATGAAAAGTGAAGACAGTGAGTGAAAAACACCGAGTGCTTCCTCTTTGTGGTGTTTAATATCTTATAATGCGGCTGTTTAATGCCAGAAGTGTGAGACAGAAGCAGTTGGGGTGCAGCAATGAGGCACTTACAAACTCAGGCAACAAAGTGACCAAATGCTGCTTCTCTGGACAGCTGAAGCAAATGAGGAGTGAGGACCTCTGTCAGAAACCAAGACACAGTCACAATGATCCAATGGGTCATGAAACAGGAGCAGGTATCTAACAAAAACTCACTGATATGTCATTACAACATACCAACACATTGTGGGTGAGTCACAGCTACGTCAGGTACACACATCCAACAACAAACACCATCACAGTGTCAGTTAGAATCACGAGAATCACGTCCACAATGCCACAATTTCTCCAGATGTTTGATGATGTTGAGCTTCATGTTGTGTTCAAATACCAGAACGAGACTTCCCACAAGCACAACAATGAGGAACAACAATTTGAGAGGTAATAAATGACTGAGAGTCCTAAATGGGTGGGTTCTCAATTCACCTGGAGGTAGAAAACCTGATGAACAACCCCTGATGACGATATTATCAGCTGTATTTTTATTCCTTTGTTCAGCACTTCGGTCAGTGGTTTCCTTTTTTCAAGCTCTTATAAATAAAGTTGGCTTGGCTAGTAACTATTTGCTGTTTTACTGGTATCAGGTATTTATAACAACCAATTAACAAAAAGACACATGGAAAGAATTCAACCATACTGCACAGTTTATTCACCAGAGGGCACTCTGCAAATTCTCTGCTGCCAAAACACTTTTGGAACGCCACAAACAAGAACCATCGGAGTCGGGCAGAATATAAAAAGTGAATGAATAACTACACGTAACAAAAGTTAGACAAATCTGTTCATGTTTTGTGTCTGAATGAAAAAATAAATCTGTACCTACAGTATAATATTAAACTAAATAACTGCCATCAGTATTGTATTTAAAAATCCTTCTTTTTGATTAATTTTCATCTAGCAACAGCCAGCAACTACTTGCTAACCTGTCAGGTAAAACACACTTTTCCATAGCAACCAGTGGTTGTTGAGGGGGTTGTTGACCAGTTTCTTGCCCTGTGTGACTGAGATCTTAGTCAAAAGTTAGCAGGTTAGCTGGCTAGCTGATATCTAAACATGATGGGTACAGCATGGAGATGAAAACCTAAATACCAACAAACTGTGTTAGTGTTACCAAAGTTAGGCTGCACAGTTTTTAAACCAAATGACCAATTATACTGTGTGTAAATGACCGATGATATGTCTTTAGCATATAGCCAGTGTTAGCTCGCTAACTAGCTAACAGCTAGCTAGGTTGGTTTTTTATACTGTGTGTAAATGACTGATAATATGTCTTTAGCATATAGCCAGTGTTAGCTCGCTAACTAGCTAACAGCTAGCTAGGTTGGTTTTTTAGACATTGCTGCCTAATTTTTTATCTTGTATGAAAAATTAAGTATTTTCCTGAAGTCACAGCCATGATACGTTTAAAATGTTCACAAAATGCTGTAGCTAGCTCTACAGTCACTGCTAAACACTATAAATGTAATTTCCACTCAGTGCAGATACATCTAAAACACGGCTATCCTGCTGACACTTGTGTAATATACACTTCACCTCATCTCCGTGGTGTGCACAGCGTACACGATTATGGCGAGGCTAATATAAATACATTGGCACAGTTAGGATGGAGAATGAGGGTTAAATAAAATAAAAGTTCATGTTGAGGCTCTCCGATGGGCGCCATCCTGTGACAGGAAGAAGACGCCAAAAACAGAACAAACTTCAGCCAAGAGAATGCCTGAGATGATCTGTCAACACCACAAGATCATTAACACAATGCTGCGTGATTTGGATTACTCATTGGGATGTTAATGCCCACACTGAGCTGAACGACGTGCTGCACATGATGCTAATAAAAATTCTCAGAGGCAGAGAATGACGGCCGAATAAAAAAAATCTGCCTGTTAAAAAACCGAACACGGCATTCAAGTGTAAAGACGAGAACTCCAGCTTAGACCTGCAAACTGCATCATCAGAGGTTTGATGTGTCATCGCTTTACAGGTGGGAGGTAAACAGTGTTTTACTTTCACTGAGCATAATAACGTACACATGCAATTACACACACAGTGAAGATCATGAAGGTGGTCTGCATGATTTTATTTCTAATATCTACTGAACAGGTGAATCAACTTAATCTTTCATGTGTTCTTGTAAGCCTGGTACTCTGAGGGTCCATTATTGAAATATCTGATGTACTGATGATGACACTGGCAAAACCAACCAGCAGCGAAGGGATTTGCTGCTTTTAAGGAAGACCTCCAATGATTTTCCTTATTTCCTGTTCCTGTGGTGGACGCTCATATTAGAGTTTCCAAAGCTGTGCTGAAATAGCCTCGTGCCCTCTGCAAAATCAAAGGTTTCTGGACTAAACTTAAGATGTTAAAAGGCTCTCTGGAAATCTGGCTCTGCCATATAAAAACCACCGTTATGGTCTTTAACCTGAATGACATCGAAGTTCAACATTCAAGCATTCACAGGCCGACTGATGGCAATGGCGACCGAGTGACGGCTCGACGGTGTTACACACACACACACGCACTCAAACACTCACAGTCGGTCAGCCGGGATTAAAGATGGCAGCAGGAGTGTTTTTATGAGTGTGTTTGTGTGCAGTCCAGGATCAGAGGCAGAGGAGGAAGGTGGAAGGAGAGAACCTGTCAGATCCCTGAGATTCAGCTCTCGAGAGAAGTGAAATCACTTTTACAAGCGTAAAACATCAGAAGTAGAAAAATAAAATACAAAAACATTTACAGAAAAAAATCAGCAGCTGACTGGACGACATCTAAAGGATGAAGACTGGAGGGGACGACAGACTCGACATCTACCACACAAAGCAACAAACAGCTTTGCTTTGTTTCACTGTTTCCACAAGTTAGTGCAAACCTGCTGTGTGAGAGTCAGCCTGCAGGGGGGGTTAAAGTGCACGAGGCGAAGAGGAAGGTGGGAGGGCGGCCTCGTCATCCTACAGCTAACGCCGCCAGCATGCACGATACAGTGAACGCAAACCAAACTCCAGCTTCTGTCGCTTTTCTTGATGCTTGGATGTTCTTGTCTCTGTTATCGCCTTAATCAGCCGATAGTAAAAGGTAAAAATGAAGGAACTGAGGGAATTTTTAGACGCTCTCGTTCAGTACCAGGAAGTGGAAGGAGGAAAGAGTTCGGGTGGTGTTTAAAGTGGGAGGTGATGGGGAAGTTTAATGGGTTGGTGCTGAGATGTGTGGGCCGTCACAGTGTGTGCTAAAACTAAGTGCTGAAGGTGAGAGGATGAAAATGCATGTTGGCTGAAATAACTATGAATGTTTTTAATCTGTGCAGAACTTTCCTGACGTCACAGAGTTTAAACTTTTTATTATTATCACAGAAAACAAAAAAACGAAGATGCTAAAGTCCTGCATTACAGTTACCACTAATACTTCCTCTTTGTTTATTC